TATAGGGAGAGACACTGCAGGAAAGATGAAAAGGTTTGGATTCTCAGCAAGGATGCGTTTTTTTGTTTTTAAAGTGGCCAACTATTGGATTGTCTTCTCGTACAGTTCTTGTCTAAGGTGCGGTCGCACACATACTACCAAGTGTGAAGCATCGCAGGGACGCTTGCAACAACTTTGTTGCAGGAACTTATTTGTTTCTTGTGAAAGAAAGAGTTGCAAGGTCAAATCCGTTCAGGTCTCGAAGCGGTGAAATTTACGGTGGCAAGTGGTGTCGACTGAAAATTTGTCATATTTCACTGAAAGGCTGTCTGTGAGACAGCAGGAAGAATTGGCTGCTTTTAAACCTTCAAATTTGACAGGTGGACTTTGTTAAATAGCGGTTTCCACCTTACTCTTGTCACCTTGATTTCTTCCTGGCAAATTCATTCGTTCCCATGAGCATTTTTATATCTCTTGTGAATCTTGGCAATGACTTTTCCTGACAAAAGCTTTTCTCTCTGGCTCGTGAAATATTTTGTTTAACTCTGTAGACCTAGTCCTCTTTATCTGTGCCATCCAGTACTGGATTAAGGTGATGGATGTCTTCCCTCTAAATATTATAAATCCTCCATCTCCCTCTCTCTTGTTTTGAATTAATTTTCTTAGATAGCAATCTTACTCTGGCACAATCATCTTTAAACCTATAGTACACAATAAGATTAATTCGCATACACACGAAACAAATTCGCGAGTGGTCAACAGACTATCAACAACAGTGACAGAAAATGCATTTCTCATATATTAGATTTCACTCAATAGAAGGAAAAAAAGAAAAGATGTTGAAAAGCTCTTCCAGGAAGTTTGCTTGTCGATGAGTTAGCTGGGGTTTGAACTGATGGGTCGTTAAAAATGTTAAAACTTTCGTAAAATATTAATTCCAGTTGTTTTAGTCAGAATTTTGGGATGGATTGTTAATTTGGAGGAAGTTAGAGTACAAAGTCCAAACGTACTGTTACTTTGTATTTCAACTTCTCGTTAGCACAAACATCTAATCAGGTCAGGATGAACTGTCAGAGTTCAATCTGAATAGAGAATAAAAGTCATGTAGGTCAGTTTGCATGTGGCGTGGATTTTGGTGCCAAATAGGCCGATCTGGGTATTTCAGAGACGGCCACATGACTATTTCTAGGCATTATAGAGTTTAAAGAGAATGGGCAGAAAAAGAGAAAGTATGACTGTTTAACCTTCACCACACCACACTGGAAGCAACTCCCGTCAGCCTGCAAGAAGCTGAGGCTACAATTTGCAAGGCCTCACTGAGAAACTAAAACAAAAAAATATTGCCTGGTCTGATGAGTCGTAATTTCTGCTGCAACATTGGAATGGTTCCTGTCAAAAAATGTGAAAGCATGGATCCATCTTGCCTTGTGGATCCAGTTCATGCTGCTAGTGGTGTAATGGTGTGAGAGATGTTGTCTTGGCATACTTTAAGCCTCTTAGTACCAACAGAACATTAGTTGAACACCAAAGCCTACCTGAGTATTGCTGCTGACCATGTCCACCCCTTTATAACCACACTGTACCGATCTTCTGATGGCTGCTTCCAGCAGGGCCCAATGCCCCAATCACCCCACACTGGTTTCTTGAACATGAGTTCATTGTACTGCAATGGCCTCCACAGTCACCTGATTTCCATCCAGTAGATCACCTTTGGCATGTGCCACCAACGAATCAGCAGCAAATGTATGATGCTATCATGTCAATATGGGTCAAAGTCTGTGACGAATGCTTCAAGCACCTTATTGAATCTCCGTCACAATGAGTTAAGGCAGCCCTGGAGACAAACAGGACTCCAGGGAGAAGCAGAAAGATGTACCTAACAAAGTGGCTGGTGAGTGCATATTAGTTTATTATAATTGGTGACGCATTCATTCATCTGTCACTTTAATGTTGCTGCTGGTGTGTCTGTGTTTATTTTAATCCTTAAAGAGCCGTGAGTGTAAAATGAAGTTACTCATATAAGTGCAAGCATTTCAAAACTGCACTTGACATTACCCGAATAAGTGTACTACTATGACTTTGACTTGATGATTAGATTCATTGATGTGTTGCTTCATGGATCCATATACTTATCCTTTTAGGTAACTGCTCTGCATTTTTGTTAAAAACTCATTTATATTTTGATCATAGATTCAAATTTTTTCCACTCAGGTTTTCCTCTTTCCCCCCAGCTCGCAGGGATAGTAAGACTCACCAGCTTGAAGGACGGTTCCACTGTGATTTCTTTTTATCATGACAGCTGTGGCAGTTTCTCCTGCATGGCACTTTTAAATCAGATTTGCCATATGGACTCTAATATTTCTGTTCGACTCCAAATCTCTGGAGCATTTTTTTTTTTAAACCTATCATTAAAAGTGATCCATCACAATAAATGAAAAGCAGAATTTCATCAGCATTCATAAAGGGCAACTCATTGCTTCATATTAACATTTACTTGTCAAAAAAGTGAATGAAACCTTTTTACTTGATCCTATAAATACTATTATGCATATTTATGAAAAGCAGCTGACTGAATAAAGTATTGAGTTCTTCTGCACAAGTTAGTAATTTCCTCCAGTAAGTCCCACAGTTTGCTATTCAGATGTCACTTACTGGTTTGCTGAGTGCGTTTCATCAGTCACTGTCTTGGTTTTATGCAACCGAGAACTGACCATATTAGAAATGTTATAAGAAAGAGACACGGCACTCAAAGGATCCTGAAAAAAGAAAATTAGATCCGAGGTAATGGGTTATTTTATGCATGCAGTATTTGTGCATGCAGTATACCTTACTTACCAAAACTAAAACACTGATTTCTTGGATAGGCTGTTCTGTGACTCAAAACAAAGCCTGCTTTGCTATTTGTCAGATAACTTCATAAAAATACAAACACGGAAGAGAGACCCAGTTTAGTTGACTCCAGTCAGTTCTGTCAGCCTACATTGGAAACTGCTTCTCACTCTGTATCCAGCGATAAAGCATAAGTTTAAGCCTAAAGAGTTAAAGAGTCAATAATAATAATAAAAACATAAAAACAAAAGAAAAAAAACCCACTTGCAATAAAATGTCTTAATGCTCAATCAGCCCAAAAAGTTGATTTTGGATGTAGAGTTTTCCCACTGAAAATGCTACGTCCAGATAAACAGAATTAGCTTTTTGGGACTTGTAATGGTAAATGGCCGGTATTTGTATAGCGCTTTACTAGTCCCTAAGGACCCCAAAGCACTTTACACATCCAGTCATCCACCCATTCACACACAGGTGATGGCAAGTTACATTGTAGCTACCCTGGGGCGCACTGACAGAGGCGAGGCTGCCGGACGCTGGCGCCACCTGACCACCACCAGTAGGAAACGGGTGAAGTGTCTTGCCCAAGGACACAACGACCGAGACTGTCCAAGCCGGGGCTCGAACCGGCAACCTTCCGATTACAAGGCGAACTCCCAACTCTTGAGCCACGATCGCACCTTTTGGAATAAAAGCAGACATTAGCTATAATAATTAGGCTAAAACAAAACGAACATAATTAGTCCTGCTCTAAAACTGGGCACTTTTTTATGGGATTCTACTGGCATTTTTTTTTCTTTTTTAGGGAGTTGGCCCAGGAGCTGTGACCTTTTGGAACAAGGTGACCAGTCAGTCAGACTGGTCACAGACTGGTCACTTTGGTGTCGTGGCAACCTCAAGGAAGTTACTGTTCGTAGTTATTTGTTTTTGTTGGCTGAAGATGTTATTACTTTATATTTAAATGATATATATGATATGATGATCTTATCTGATTCTCCATCTGAATACAGTATTAGTATTGGTATAATGTGGCACACTCAACACTGTTCCAAAGTAATGCATTTGAATACTCAGATTACTTTATTGTTATAACAGGTGTTATACTGTTATCTGTGCTTTAGTTACATTTTCAGATGAGTTCTGTTAAATATGCTTCCACATTTCTTTTCTTGTGACAAAAGACAAAATGCAATATTTCTGTCTCTCCCTGCCTCCTTGGTACACATAAATAATAAATACAATATGAAAAGATAGACTTTAGTACTACTGCAAGGTATGATTGTGTCAGTCAGGTCAACTAATGTGACGGCAGAGAGGACGGGTGTATTCACATCATTCTGTGCTGAGGTTATGAAAAATCTCTCTCGGCTGTTGAAGAGGTTTACATTTTGAAGAAGTACCTACAAGTATTTCCATTACACTGGTTGCAAGGCCTGCTGAGGAGAAGCTTTTTGTTTGGCTGAAGCTGTTTCTCATGAGGTAAATGAACAAGCTTATTCTTACCAGTAAATAATCCCACTGCTGCTTACTTCCCATGACTAAGCATTTCTTTTCAATCTCTTTGTGTTTCTTCACAAAATTTGCATTTTAACTGTAGTAATGATTGAACTCTCTCTCTTCCATAGAGTGCTTTTTGTCATGTCTCTTGCTGCTCTACCTCTCTTTCACCTCCAACCAGTCATGGCGGATGGCTGCCCCTCACTGAGCCTGGTTCTGCTGAAGGTTTCTTCTTGTTAAAAGTTAGTTTTATCTTCACCATGGCTGCCAAATGCCTTTTATTGTTGAGGTTTTCTTCTCTTTCTAATATCTTAGGGTCTTTAACCTATAATCTATAATACACACCATGCGGCAAATATTGTGAATTGACGCTTTATAAATAAAATAAAATAGAAATAGAATGAATTACTTTTTAATAGGAGCTTGGAATATAACAACACACCACTCAACACTGGTAACCAACACTGGTAATGCCACCCAACACTGGATAGTAATATTATAGCCCTGATTTCTGTTCACCATTTTCTTTCTTGGGGCTGGGTGAATATAAATTAATGCAAAAAATAATAATAAATTAAAAAAATAAATAAACTATGCACTTACTCTGCATTCATTATTAATCAAATTACCCTGTGCTGTAAACTAAAATAAGCAATTGCAGAAAACAACATTGCGCAAACCACACAGTTAAAATGATAGAACAGAAATATAAATAGGCGCGATTTGGTTTTTGCACCGCCCCTTAATATCAACCGGAACCAATGGAATTACAGTCTGTCTGCTGTGAGCGCAAGTTGGCTCTGTGATTTATTTCTTAACTGAAACTGTGAAACCTACACGAAACCCTCCTCTCCTCTTCGTCTTCTTCTTCTCTCCTCAAACTGTTTCCATCGTCCTCCATCTCCTGTCAGACCCCCGCAGCACTGACCCGACAGAGGAGGGGGACTTTACCCCTGATGGTGTTTACGCCCACCGACTGAGGTCAATCTAGGCAGGTCTGCCGTAAATTGTTGATTGGATGCCGCGGACGGACAGCCAATTTCTCGCCAGTGCTGTTCCTGAGAGGAGAGCGAAGCTAAATGTGAGCACCTGAAGCACCATAGGGTAAGTAACCGCTTTAAACCAAATTGAAAAGCAGATTTATTCTTTCTTTTTTTATTTTATCTTTTAAATATAGAAACCTTTGTCAGTTCAGATAGGACTGGCAGCGTCTTAAGGGGAACTTGTTGCCATGCTTTCAACGCTTTTCTGTGATTTTTCATGCTTTTTCTTGGTTCCAATATACAAGATTGACAAGTTCGTTTTGCGGATGAACGCCAGCAGGGGCATGGTGACATTTTATTTTTGAAATAAAATCACGGCTTGGATTTTGGGTTAATACGTGTTTGGAGTGTATAAGTGCTTATTACCCGGAATTCAAAATAAAGTCAAGGCATGCCTCAAAAGGTATGTCTCGTATTATTGCTCATTTAATGCTTTAATTTTTTTTTCATAAATACACTGAAGTTTTCCTGTTTCCGTTATTAAAATAATAATAATAATAATGCTGATTGCAAAAACTACATATTCATTCGCTCTGTTCCATAATAGTCCTGTCAAAGAAAGTCTTATAGAAAGACTCCAGTAGCTGTATGATTTACAGTATTATATAGTTTACATTCTTTTTTTTCTGCCGATGTATTTTCAGATATGTCGGTAAAACATGTTTGTAATGTTATTTTAGCCTGTCACTATTCTTCTATAGGTTGCTTGAAATTGTGAATTTATTTACTCACCTTAGTTTGTTATTGGAGAGTCTGAGCATGATTGTCAACTTTACCATATTTTCATTTATTATAGGTTTTTTTTTTTTGGTTTTTTTTTTTACCTCAGTCTTCGGGTGTTGCAGAAATAAAATCAACTTGCCTCCAAATGAATTGCAGAAACAGATCTTACTGTAAATCTGAAGTTCTCATTTGGGATACCCTCTAGTGGTTGCAAAGTGGCATTATATTTGTTTAGAGTTCTCTCAACAGCTGAAGGGTGTGTTTCAGTAATGCTGTATTCCCTCAAATGTGCATTTTAGAATGGTGAAAATTTGTAGATTTGGCAGGGGACGGGTGGTTAAGTGTGTAAACAGGAGCAAACCCTGGTTATGTCTACACTTTAAATGTTTGTGCCATATGGGCACTTTGACAAATCAAATTTGACTCTTAATGAAATGGAGAGGATGCAGTTATCAGTCTGTTCACACTGAAACTGTTTATCCTCAGCAGTCGCTTAGAAGTGGCTTCCAAACGCTGCAGTGTCTCATTTTAAATAAAAGATGGAGAAGATGTCAAATCGCTTCTTGAATAGAAGATGTTTGCTTTTGGTGTGGAGCGTCACCCTGGGATCACATCTTCTCATGCAACACTCTCATGTGCCACATTGGTGCAAATTATTCCTTCTCCCACTTGCTAATCAATTTATTGGTATTTCTACCA